AAAAACCCCAAAAAAAAACACAAAAACCCTGCCACAAAAAACCAAAAAAAAAAAAAAAAAAAAGAAAAAGAAAAAAAAGAAAAAGAAAAAAAGAAGTATGACTCATGTATTTGTATTTCTATAGACAATTTTAGATGGGCTCTGTGTTCTCCTTACGGGTCCATGTGTCCCACTGTTGGAAAATTCTAATTGAAGATTAAATGCTCTTCTAGGATGGGGTATTAGATTCTCCACCACTGCATTCATCAGGGTTGATGGGCAGTGTCCATCAGTGGTAGATGGGGTGTTTTCATGCAAATTGTAGTGTGGTGATAAGGAAGGGAAAGAACTGGAAGAGGCAGAGAAGCAGGAAACTGGCCACTCTTCTCACCTTTAGTAAGTTAGCTGTCAGTCCGCTCCAGAGCCCTAGTGCCCCTTGGGTCTTCACTATCTGCCGGAAGCAGTCCACTGCTCCTGAGAAATGGACATCTACTCCTCCACAGTTGGGAAGATAAGGACTTTGAGCCTGGCAGCAAAGAGAAGGTATGAGGAAGTGATTTAAGTACTTGCAAGTTTATGTCCTACACAAAATAAGCAGGGTCTCAGGTTTGAATTCTGGATGCCCTATGCCAAGATAGTGGCAAAAAATAGTAACTTTAGAGTTCATCTCCTTCCATGGTCTTAGAATGAGACACAGTTTCTCTGTGTAACAGCGTTGTCTGGCCTGGAACTCTCTCTGTAGGCCAAGCTGGCCTTGAACTCACAGAGATCTGCCTGCCTTTGCCTCCTGAGTGCTGGGATTAAAGCCACCACTGCCCAGATAGAATAAAAAAATCTTTTGGAGACAAGGTATTTCTTATGTAGTCCAGATTGGCTGGGATTTCACCATAGTTCTCTTTCAGCCTCTTGAATACTGGGATTACAGGTGTGAGCCACCATGCCTGACTTAGTACAAGTACTGATTTTCTATAGACCTATGCATGATGCCTTGCTCACGTATTTGTGGTGAATTTTTCTTAAAAAAAGTATGCATTTTGGATAGACTCGATTTCATACCTACATTCCATCCTAGCCTATGCCCAACGGACCCGTTACGTACTCCTATGCCTTTAACTTCTTTTTGAGATTTATTTATTTTTATTTAACCTATATGGGAGATTTGACTGCATGTATGTCTGTGTACCGTGTACATGTGAGAGCATCAGATCCCCTTTCAACTGGAGTTGTTAGATTGTTGTTAGATGCAAGGTAAGTACAAGGAATAAAACCTAGGTCCTCTGGAAGAGCAGCCAGTGCTCTTAACCACTAAGCCATCTTTCCAGCTCCAGACTTTAATATTTTTTTGATCCCTCTCCTGGAAACCACCAAGTAGGGGTTTATTTTCCCATAGCACAAATGTCACAGGGTTGAGAACAGAGTGATTGGGGCATTCTTCCGGTTTCCTGTTGCTGTCTGTTTCACTGTCATGACAAAGGTGCTCATCTGGGGCTCAAGCTACTCCATATGCTTGTCCTGTTGTCATCTATGGACCTCCTGGCCACCCTTCTACATTTACTGGAGACTGACACCTGGTGGTTCAGTTTAGCCAAGCTTCTCCATCATCTTAGGTAATTTTAAAAAGAAAAGGAAAAAAAGAAATAGAAAAGAAAAAAAGAAGACATTACTCTGGGGAGGGGAGATACGCTGTGGGGGATGGCTCAGGGGGAGTTGGAAGAAGGGAGTGAGGGTAAATATGACTAAGATACTTGTATATATGTGTGTAAACCTTTCAAAGAATAAGAGAATGCACAAAAGGACAGTCTGTGCCAATCTGTGCCGATCTCAGTCTGGCTCTCATCCTCAGGGACCCTCACTTTTACACCTTTGGTCCTCTTTTCTTCAGCCACTCATGGACTTCATAACCATGTCAGAGCTACTGATAAAATTCTGTCACCATCAAATGCTCAATCCCTGCAAGTAACTCTCTCGTCTCTAGTCTCAGTAGTTATGAGGCTGAGCAGGCACTCCCACACAGGTGTGTATACCCACCCCCCATATACATAATTTAAATTAAAACAAGTCTGTAGGAAAAAGAAAGAACAAGCTGGGGGCTAGACAGATAACTTAGTGGTTAAGAGCACTTGTTGCTGTTGCTGAGGGCTAAGTTCCCAGAACCTACATTGGGTAAGTCACAACTGCCTGTACCTCCAACTCCAGGAAAATTCAATACCCTCTTCTGATCTCTATAGGCATCCACAGTCATGCATACATAGTCACACACAGATATACACACATGCATATAATCAAGTATAAATCTTAAAAATAGAAATAACAAGCTGTCGCTGAATGAACAGCATGAAGAAAGTTCAGAGGTACTACACAGAGTGAGCAATTTTCAAAAGGTAACACTACAGGCATGGAGAACACACGAAATGTTACCATCTTAGGGGTACTCTTGGAGGCCTTGACTGCAAAGGGATTGCATGAGAATTTGGGGGTTGACAGACAATTCTGTCTTGATTGTGGTGGCAGTCACACAAATCTATACATCCATCCAAAACTCCTAGAACTCTGAACAAAAACAAGCTAATTTGACTGTTTAGGTTTGGGAATAAAGAGTGGACAATGTTCTGAAAGGCCAAGTTAGGAATGGAGGAAGAAACTGTTTTACATGGGTGGGACTTGAGTTTATTCATCTGTTAAGGAGGAAAGGTGCCCAAGAGGAACTTGAGGTGTGACGCCCAGGGCACCACCAGGAAGGAGGGATATCATGCAAAGAAGCAAAAGGTTGAGTCAGTTTATCACTATTTTCCCCATGAAAGAGCAAGCCAGGTTATCTGCCTAGGGAGGAGGCGATGGGAGTGCAGTGAGGAGTTTGGTAAGGTTTGAAAAAGCTGTTAAGAAGGATGTGCCATGGACACTCTGAAGACTAGCTCTGCAGACTGAGGAGCAGCGCAGGTTTTGGGTCATGAACATTCTGTGCCCCCCAGGCTGCCCTCCCATGTATTCATCTTCAGCAGTGTGAATCAGAAGGAGTTTGTGTGGTTCAGGATAAGCTGAGGGACAAGTGGCATGGATTGCAGAATGGAAGCCAAAAAGCCACAAGAATGAATGGCAAGGGGCCTGGAGTTGTGGCTCAGTTGGTGCGTAGTGGTTGGAGTGCTTGTTTACCACTCCAACAAAGCCCTGGCCTCCATCCTCAGCACCACATGAAATGGTGATACATGTGTGTAATTCAAGCACTGGGGAGGTGAAGGCAGCAGTATCAAAAACTTCAAGGTCATCCTCAGCTAACACCAAGTTCAAAGCCAGCCTGGGATATGTGAGACCCCGTCTCAAAGAAAATAATGGAAAAGGGGCTAGAGATAGAGTACAGTCAGTAAGCTGCCTGTTGTGCAAGTGCTAGTTTCGATCCCCAGCACCCACGTAAAAAGATGGGTATGATGGTGCATGCTATTCTACTGCTGGAGAGGCAGAGTCATGATGGTCTCTGGGGTCAGTATCCAGCTATCCCAGCCTGCGTGCCTAGTGCAAGGTCCTAGTGAGAGACTCTCAGAAAACAAGGTGGGAGGCTTCTGAGGAACAACACCCAATGTTGACCTCTGCCTCCACACACATGTGCAAACATGTGACATGCAACAACACAGACTAACTCACAGAGTGGGGGAAGAGGGAGGGAGAGAGGAAGGGACAGGGAGAACATGGGATCAAGGACCATGAAGCCAACAGGGTGCTGGTGGCCTAGACATAGATGAGGAGGCAAGTGACCAAAGGCATTTGATCTGAGGGACTGTGATGAACAGGACGATAGGTGTCTTTGTCCTTCATGTGGTCTTATGTTGATCCTGTGCTATTCTTTTTCTTGTAGTGCTGGGGATTGAATTCAGGGCCCTGTATATACTAAGCAAGTCCTCTTCTGGATTCCTTCAGCCTCTTTTGTGGTTCAGTAAAGAGCTCATCCCTGATTTCATTCAGCTTTACTGTCCCATCCATTCCCTCAATGACATCCTACTGTGCCTCCCCACAAGGCTTGCTACTTTCATGTTCACACCAAGCAGTGGAGCTAGACAGCTTGTAATAAGTCACTAGCCTGTGACCTTCAGCAAATGCCTTGATCTGCCTGAGGTCCCCCACTTTCCCCGTAAAATGGAGTAATAATAACATGTACCTTATAGGATTGTTGTTCATATTAAATAATTTAGTACATGCAAAGTGCCTAAAACTGTACTTGATATAGAGCAAGCACTAAATAAGTAACCACCATCATTAAGGTCATTATTACAATGATCTAAACTTGGAGAAGAGACAAGTATGCTGAAGACCAAACCAACCTGCTAGACTGGAATGCTAGATTGCTGTATTCTTAAATTGTATCTTACTAGCAAAGAGAAATAGAACATACTAGATGGCTAGACACAAGGGCCTGCACATAAGGTTTCTTCTACACAAACCCAGGCAACTCTGTAGGCTACTAAAATGTAGCCACCTGCTTCCGACCCCCAGCCCTCAGGAGGAGCATGTTAGATCCTGCAGTATAACATCACCTAAAAGAAATCAGGAAAACTGGGCCTGGCTCTGCCACTATCAGTATAACCTTGACTAAGTCATTGACTTCTTTGCACCTTAGTTTCCTCACATGTGTACTAAGGAGACTGAAATGAAATGACCTTGAAGACCCTTTCCAGCTTATACAATCCTTGCAGCTGGCCCATGTTTGTCACAATGATCAGGAGAAATACCATCTTCTCAGGGAAATCTTCTCAGATACTTAGACTAAGCTTATCAAACACTTTTTGGTCACCATGTCCTTCATGGCACTTGATAAGAATTTGTGTATGATCTGACGTGTATAATTATTTCTTCCTTGTGTTCTCTTCCTAGCCCCTATCCTGCTGGGACTGAAAATACCACAGGGGCAGTGACCACATCTGTCTTGACATGGGTCTTTCCCAAAAAACCTACCAACATTTCTTTCACACTGTAGGTGCTTACTATATATTGAGTAAAAGAAAAAAAAAAACTCAAAGCTAAGCATTTGAAAGTTTCAAAACTTCTCAGGCCTTTCAGAAGAGGTAACATTTGTTAAATATTCTTTCCACGAATACTGACTTAGTTAAACAATATTTACAAGATACAACACACACACACACACACACACACACACACACACACACCCTTAATTAGTGTTTTATTGCTGTGAAGAGACACCATAACCACAGCAACTCTTACAAAGGAAAACATTTCACTAGGGCTGGCTTACAGTTTCAGAGGTTTAGTGGCCGCTGAGGGCTTGGGGTGGGGAAGGCCAGAGCACAGTTGAGCCTCCAAGAGAAAGCATTTGAGATGCAGGTGAGCAGCTTGTGAGGAAGCCTGAGTGGCCTGCACCCATGGGCATGAGCCAGAGAAGTTTCCCCACCCCCCCAACCAGGAGTGATGGCTAAATTTTCTAAGAGCAAACTTGGAAAGTGGTATCTTGACTGGGAGGGAGAATGTACATGAAGAAAACAAATTTGGAAGATGACAATTTCCAGGAGGCTGAGGACATAC